CCTAAGAGGAAGTTTATAGCTCTAAGTGCCTACATTAAAAAATTAGAACGAGCCCAAAGAAATAATTGAACATTGCAACTCAAGACCCTGGAAAGGCAAGAACAAATGAAACCCAAACCCAGCAGAAGAGAAGAAATAACAAAAATCAGAGCAGAAATTAATGAAATAGAAACAAAGAAAACAATAAAAAGAATCAATGAATCTAAGAGCTGGTTCTTTGAAAAGCTAAACAAGATAGACAGACCCTTAGCCCAGTTAACCAAAAGAAAGAAAAAGCAAAGCCAAATCAACAAAATCAGAAATGAAAGGGGAAACATCACAACAGACACTAAAAAGATCCAGAACATCATAAGGGAACATTTTAAAAACCTACGTATTACTAAATCTGAAACTCTAAAAGAAATGGATGGATATCTGAAATCATGGCAACCACCAAAGTTAAACCAAGAAGAGATCAACAGTTTAAAGAGACCCATAACATATAAGAAAACTGAAACAGTAATACAAAAATCCCAACTAAGAAAAGCCCAGGCCCAGATGGATTTACAGCAGAATTCTACCAGACATTTAAAGACCTCCAACCAATACTACTTAATTATTCAAAATGACAGAAACAGAGGGAGAACTCCCAAATTCCTTCTATGAAGCCAACATGAGTCTAACACCCAAACCGGGTAAAGACACAACCAAAAAAGAAAACTATAGACCCATATCCTTAATGAATATAGATGCAAAAATTCACATCAAAATACTTGCAAACTGCATACAGACACACATCAAAAAGATTATTCACCATGACCAAGTTGGTTTTATTCCAGAAATACAGCGTTGGTTCAATATACTTAAGCCAATAAATGTCATAAATCATACAAATGTACTCAAAGGCAAAAATCACATGATCAGCTCAATAGATGCAGGAAAGGCCTTTGACAAAGTTCAGCTATGCTTCTATGTTTAAAGTCCTAGAGAGAATTGGACTGGAGGGAACATATCTCAATATAGTTAAATGTGTATACAACAAACCCACAGCCAATATCATTCTAAATGGAGAAAAATTGGAACCATTCCCATTAAAATCAGAAAAAGTAAGAAAAGTTGCCAGTTTCTTGGCTAAAAGTCAAAATGTCCTTGGGCCTCTAGTCAAAATATCCTTGGGCCTCTTAGCAACATACTGTTCCAAAGGCCAAAAATGTCAAAAGTATTTGGGAGCTTTTATCTAATTCTTAAAAGGTTTTAGAGTTACCACTTCAGAGGGGAGAATGTTAGAGTAGCCAAAAGCCCCATAAAAATAAATAAATCAAAGAAGAAAAATAAGTAAAATATCTTAATAATGAAATAAAAATACCTTGTCAGTATTGCTGTAAAAATAACTGGTAGACGTTTTGTAGACAGGACTTTGAAGATGTCTAAAGATTTACTTAAGCATTTATCTTTTGATTAGCAATCCTATTTTGTGGTCGCTGGCTGTGGCTTCTCTCCTCCGGCTATGGCTGCTCTCCTGCTCTCTTAGTTCCTCCAATCAGTCTGTGGTGCATACCCCAGGACTGGTGAGGAGTCTGCACCACCACCGTCGCCGCATTCAGACACAGGAGACCAGGTTCAGTGACACAGATCTACTTAATTGCAGGAAGGCACAAGCTTATATAGTTGTAGTGGTCCAATCACAGCACAGCAAGTAGGATACCTCATTAGCATAACATGTTTAGCATCCTATCACAGAATAGTGGGTAGGATGCCTCATTAGCATACTGGGTTTCAGATTACAGAGCCCCGATTCCTGGAAACCACGTGACCCTGACTGTTGCAATATCTAAGTGTTGCAATTTTGGATTCCAAGGGTGGTGATTAGGGAGTGGCGAGCTCTAGGCATCAGTCTCATGATCTGCCAATGGGAGCAAATGTCACAAGGCGTTCCTTGTGGCTCCAGCTGTCGGTCCCTTGCCTCAGGTCTGCTATACAGCTGGCAATAAGACTTTCAACCCAGGCTCAAGCCTGTCTCCCACACTACTTCTTGGAATCTATCCCAAAAATAAGTTGGTAGAAATAAGAAATATTTGTGGACAAGGCTAATTGACATTGTATTATTTGTATTAGTAAAAGATGACCCAGTTATCAATCAACGGGAAGACTGGTTGAATAGATAGTAGGCCACAATTGAAGCTGTAAAATGGAATGTGCTGAAATAAAATTTTCTTTAGTACATACATTTTAGTGGAAAAATGTAAGATGCTGAAGTGTGTGTGTGTGTGTGTGTGTGTGTGTGTGTGTGTGTGATAATGCCTTTTGTGAAAAAGTAAAAAATACAAATACAAAAGAAACCAAGTCAGACATGGGATTAAGGCAAGAAGATTACTGTGAGTTCTAAGAGAGGCAAGGATATATAGCAAGACCCTGTCTTAAAAAAGAAAAAATTTAGGGAAGTAATGGAAGAGGGTGCCACTTAATCACATGGGCCCTTTAAAAGTAGTTTTCTCCTGGTGGTACAGGACACTGGACACCTCTTTCTTGGCAAGTCTGAGAAAAAAACTTCTTTATATTAAACTGTAGGTAGCTAAGAGGAACTGAGAGTCCTTCCAAACCAATAGCTAGAAGGAAGTGAAAACCTGAGTCCAACAACCAATAGCCTGGGAAGAGTCCTTGTAGGGGAGAGGCCTGTAATTCAGAACGCAGAGCCAACACTAGTTGGCATTGAACTATTTTTTTTTTTTTAGTCATTTTGAGACAGGGTCTCCTTGTAGCTCCTGTCATCTAAAAGACTCCCAAACTGCATAACTCTTATCTGTAGGGAGAAAAGAAAGTCCTTGACTGGTGAACAGGAGATGTGAAAGAGAAGTAAAGGCAGGAGTAGTTAGCATTACAAGTTCTAGACAGGGAACCAGAAAAAAAGTCAGACAGGGCAAATTTCAAATGTTCATATCAGAGTCCATTGGAACTTCCTGACAAGGGCTTCCAAAAGCATCCTTCTATTGGGTTCCCCCTCAATTTTCTTTTGTCTGCCAAGGCTGGACTTGGGAGTGATGGACTCAGGATTTGTTTTCAGGCATTTTGATAACTGTTGGAGTGGCTAAGATCAGTGTCAGTTCCCTCTCAAAGGCTTCTAGATAGGAGAAAACAAACTTATCCATGATTTTAGAACAATAGCTGGTTGTGTCCCTTAGCTACTGGTGGGCACTATGGCATTGCAGACCAGGATCTGAAGTCTTACATCTGAGCAGCACTTTTTGTTTTAGGAACAAAATCATCAATGAGAAATAATTGTCTAAATAACATTTTATATGGACTTAAGCCTAATGTCTGGGAAGTGTAATCCCTTGAACTCTTAAAGAAATATACTGATCACTTTAATCTTTGGTTATACATTCCTCTTGGGTGTTTAAGACCATATAGTTTGCCTGGAACTCGCTATGTAGACCAGGCTGGCTTTGAACTCACAGAGATCTGCCTGCCTCTGCCTCCCAGTGCTGGGGTTACAGTCCTTTGCAACCATGCCTGGAGGCACTGAACCACCTTGAGCAACGTAGACTGAGGGAGTGGTACTACAGAACAGTGAGTGACTCCTGGCTTCAGTACTATCCTGCTCTCTACAAACCTTACACCTGTTAAGCTGGAGCCCTGTGTTAGAGGTGCCCTCATCCTTATCCTGCCAAGATGAATCAAAAACCTATAATCATGACATCCGTGGTTCTATGTGACTTAATTCTTGACATTTTAAAGTTATATTTTAGAAGCGATGGTTCGTGTTTTTAACTGCTCACTTATGACTATGTGAAAGTACTTTTTTAAAGTGTTTATTTCACTGAAATCATCTCTGTATATGCTTTGGTCTCAGTGAGCTGCAGGCTTCTCTACTTAGTGCCTGATGAAATTTAAGCTGGTACAGTAGCATAGGTCCAAAACTGCCTGTGAGGAGTGTGGAGAGGAGAAGAGACCGGATCCAGCCCCCGTCTGAACGGATCTTAGAAAATCTGGTTTCTCCTTGTCAACGTTGGAGGAAGGTCTGCTCCTGAAAGGCTGTTTAGCTTTTTGTCAGGCCTTTACCTCTTTAAGATAAAACAGGAAGTTGAAAGTCCATAAACCAAGAGCCAAGAGATGGAGCTGGAGGAAAGCTTGGTCTCCAGGAGTGCATGCAACAATGGCTGAAAATCCGTGGTTACGTTGTCATCTTTGCTGTTTAATAAGTTTTTCTTTCCACCAGAAAGCAGATCCAACTGTTTTCTTTGCGTTTAGGGAAGGAAGATGCACGCCCTCGGTGGGCGGGTGTTGACTCAAAGGAGGTGGGGCGCCACAGCCCCTCCCTATTGGCAGAGCTGCTGTTTATACTTTTCTTTAATAGCACAAAGTCTGAGAGGTCACTGCGGTGAGGAGCCAGGTACGAGAGGAGCAGCACCTAGAGAAGGTACCTACCTGCCGCGAGCTTCCGGTGCACCCAGTCTCCCGCGCGCCCTGCTGCAGATGCTACCCACGCACTCAGCCACCCCTGCACCCTGCTACCCGCGCACCCACTCCCCCTACACCCTGCTCCCCGTGCATCCTGCTCCAAGTACTCCCCACTCACCCAGCCACCCGGGCACCCTGCTCCTGGCGCACCCAGCTCCCTGCACACCCAGCTCCCCCGCGCGCCCTGCTTCAGGTGTTCCCCACTCACCCAGCCAACCGGGCACTCTCCTCTCGGTGCACCCAGCTCCCTGCACACCCGGTTCTCTGCGCGCCCTGCTTCAGGTGCTCCCCACTCACCCAGCCACCCAGGCATCCAGCTCCCAGTGCCGCGACCTCCCTGAGGGCACCTCAACCTCCTGGTGCTGCGACCCTCCAGCCCTTGTCCCCAGGAGCACGTCACCTTAGCACATTTATTTACTTGCCATGGCCAAGGTCTTCCGCATAAAAGTTGAGCTGACATTTGGTTTCTGTCTTTTGTCTTCTTGTTTATTTGTTTGTTTACGACAGGTGACAGGGACCCTGTCAGCAAAGTACTCCAGAGACCATGACCAAAAAAAGAGTTGCTGTGATTGGGTCAGGAGCCAGTGGGCTCACTTGTATCAAGTGCTGCCTGGAGGAAGGCTTGGAACCAGTCTGCTTCGAAAGGAGTGATGACATTGGAGGACTCTGGAGGTTCCAGGTAAGATTGGACTCCCTGCAACTCCCTGCATGACACATTGTAACTCATGCTAAACAGTGACTAAATTCAGCCACAGCAGCAGTCACCTGAGGTTTCAGGCAGGTTTCTTTCTCTAACTGGCAACCAAGGGCAACAGAAATTGTTTTTCTCTTCCTGTTGATATGAAAACATACTGAGACTGGTTTCTTTGCTGAATTTTGCTGCTACTCAGGAAAGGAAATCTGTGAGGTGGCAAAGTTTGTTCCTCCTTGTGATAATAATAGACATGTCTGCATACAACTCCAGGAATCCCTGCTCAACCTTCACCTTTGTTTTCCATCTTTCATTAGAAAAAGTATTGGTGGGGCTGGGGAGACACATGGTTCAGTCTGTAAGTGCTTGTGTGGACCAAGCATGAGGACTGAGTTTCATTCCCAGCACTTAAGAAAAAAGTGTGAGCATGCAGCATGCCCCTGTAATCCCAGCAGTGGGAAGTAGACATGGGAGGATTCCTGGGACTTGCTGACAGCCAGCCTAGTAAATCTGCAAGCTCCGTGTTCAAGGAAAACCCTGTCCTAATAAATATGATGGAGGAAGTTTAAGAAAAATCCCAGCATTGACTTCTCCCTTCCACATGCACTACCCTGTTTACTTTAAGCGTGTCCTTCCCTTGAGAGGCCCAAAGTCCTTTGTCTTTGCAATAGGGCAGAGGGCACTTGCAACTCAGTTTTAAAGTTCAATTATTTTAATATGCATATTCAACTCAACAACTTATTAGTAAGAGTTCAAAATACTATTTACTGGAATGATAGCTATGCTTATTAAATGCCAAACAATATCAACAACCTTCATTGATTTCCAAACTGGCATGCATTGGACTTACTTTGTAATTTTAGCCCCTGTACTCTGTATGTAGACCAGGCTGGCCTTGATCTCACAGAGATTCACCTGCCTCTGCCTGCTGAGTACTAGGAGTAGCAGAATGCACCACCACACCCAGTTGGGGGGCTTACTTCTTAAATTCATTATCTGAATAGTATTGAACTGTCATAAGTGTGTTTCTTTTTTTTTTTTTTCCTTTTTTTTGGCTTTTTGAAGCAGGATCTCCTTGTAGCCCCAGCTGTCCTGGAACTCACTATGTAGGCCAGGCTGGCCTTGAACTCACAGAGATCCCCCTGCCTCCGCTTCCCGAGTTCTGGGACTACAGGCATGCGCTACCACGCCAAGCTGTGTTTCTTTTTTTATATATATTTTATTTATTATTTTTATTTTACATGTATGAATGTATTGCCAGCATGTGTGAAAGTGCACTTGCATCACACAATGCCCACAGAGGTCAGAAGTGTTGTATCCCCTGGAATTGGAGTTAGGGAGGGTTGTTAGCTGCCATGTGGGTGCTGGGAATTGAACCTGCATCCTCTGAAAGCGCTCTTAACTGCTGAGCCATCTCTACAGCCCCCTGGTGTATTTCATTTTTCATAAAAACTAGCCACCGGGAGTGGTGGCACACGCCTTTAATTCCAGCACTCAAGAGCCAGAGGCAGGCAGATCTCTGTGAGTTCAAGCCCAGTTTGGTCTACATAGCTAGTTCCAGGCCAGCTGGGGCTACAGGGAGAACTTGTCTCAAAAAGACCAAAAACGACAATAACAACAAACAATAGTAGTATTGACCAGCTATTTTGGAGTGGCTTCCTGACATTCCTGGGTTGAATAGAAGTACGGTCCTTTTGCACTGTAGCTCTGGACTGGAGAGTATATCCCCTCTTTGATAGCAGTCTTTATTCAGGTCTAGAATAGATCCCCTACCTAGACACTCATTCCTTCATCACAGTCTTTGGCATGGGTTGGAAAGGTTGCTAGCTTGTTCTTACTAATCAATAGAAAATTCTGCTCTTAAAATCCAGTCAAGCCATGGTATGGGGGTTAAGAACATGATCTTATAGTCAAGCCTTGTATCTGTCATCCTATAGAGTGTGATTTCGAGGAAATCATTTTCCTTCTCTGTGTCTACTGTTTCTTCATCTTTAAGAAGGAGCTAATGATTATACCCATGCTTGAAAGTTACCATGGGGGGGGGGGTAAGTGACTAAATAATTATACAGTCACTTCTAACAATGCTGGACATCCAGGGTTGCATACCAAATATTAATTCAGTAGGCCTAGATTGGGACCTGTGCTTTGGGGTCTCTGCTAAGCATCATAGCCAGGTTTGTCAGTTATCAGACAGGGGTGAAATCAACTGAGGACGGGAGGAGGTTCAAGAATATCCAGCATCCTGCCTGAGTATTAGATCTGTTATCTCTAAAGAGGCTTAAAGTGATTATTTTCTGACAGGAATTCAACACCTTATGAACTGGTTCCTTGAAAATCAGTAAGCTGTGCTTCATCCTAATACCCTGACATCTGTCAGGGCAGACCACACTGTGTGGCTAAGCATTCCATTCTAGGGCCCCTCCTGAAGCCCTGTACATATTAGCTTCAAAGTACACTCTATTTCCATGAGTCCCCGAGGAGCAAATTGTCCTGATGGCTCCTTAGAATGCTTGGGGCACTAGAAGGCTTCGTTCACACATTAGCCAGCCACACAGTTGTGGAACGTGAAGTATTGAGCGCCCATGATTGAATTAGACATTTCACAGTCTCATAGTGGTGTTCTGAAATTTTTCTGCACTGGAATCTGCCTCTTTCACACTCCCTTGCTACTTATTTGGAGTCTTGTGCTCCTTCCTTCAACTCTCTCAACTTTAATGAATTAACCAATGAATTATAGATGTCTTAAATAGAATTGATTCCCCCAGCACGGTGGAATTCTACCATTGTCCCCAGAATCCAAGGTTCCCATTCCTCTCCCTTGATGGTTCCCTGTTTTCTTTCCTTTTGGGTGCCACTACTTGTATTTTCTATTCTTTTTTTTTTCTTTCACCTGCCAGATAAATATCCCTGTAGACACCTTCATTTGTATTTTCCTATCTCTGTTCTTTATCTGTTTCATCTGCCAAACCTGCATTGCCGCCTCCTTTATAATAGACTAATACCTTATGATAATTTGTAAATTCTCTTCACGCATGGTGGCTGAACCAGGATGATTGCCACAAGTTTGAGGCCAGCCTGAGCTACATGGTGAGTTCCAGGCCAGCCAGGGCTACAGGTCTGTGGAACTTAACAAATATTGAAGTCATCCTGAGCATGGTGGTACACAATTTTAATAGCAACACTCTGGAGGCAGAGACAGGCACATCTTTATGAGTTTGACAGGAACCTGGTTTACAGAGCAAGTCCCAGGCTAACCAGAGATACTTAGTAAGACCCTGTCTCAAAAAACAAACAAACAAAAAAAGAAAAAGTAAAAAACACTGAAGTCACCCTCTATGAGATTTATTGACTGGGTTACAATAAAGCTCTACTAGATAATCATAATCCACAGTCATTGTGAAGGACCAGTATCTAACATCTTCTACCCCAATTTTCCAAGGTCAAAATTGAGGGTGTCATTGCATCCTTAAAACAACATTGGTACTAGTTTATTGAGCAAACACTTTCATATCTCTAAACATGAGGAAATTGAAATGTGTGACTTCCTGCCACTGCCCTGGGGCATTTTTCAGTTAGACTATCGATGGGCACAGAAAGGGCCTTTGAAGTGATGGATCCATTTATGTTATAAAATCTCTGGGGCCCACATACCACCTTGTACTAGCAGTTTTCAAACATATACACACACCAGACAAAGGATAATCTTTAGGGACCATCTTTAGGGACACAGGCCAGCCACTGGTATTTTTTTAAGCTTCTCAATTTGTTCCAATGTGTATAGAATAGTTCAAAGTGTCTGTTCATGGAACTCTGAGATTCTGACAAAGGAACGTAAGACTCACAGTGTCCTCAGTCCCCCCACTGAAAGGGAATTATTTTTCCCTTTATTCTTTTTCACTCCCTTCAACAGTTAGTAGGGCCAACACCCACTAGTTCTTCTCTTTCTTAAATACAGACTTCCTACTCACATGTGTGAACTGAATACTGAGTGGGAAATACAGTCAGGGAACAAAATTTGTAGTGGGGTGATGTATTCAGTGATGGCAGGAAGCTGTAAAGTTGAAGACACTTTTTCTCTCTCACTGACTCAGTGCTGCCATGGCCCCATTCTTTTATGAAGCAGTGGATGGCACAGTGATAAACTCTACCAACAATCCAAATAAGTAGTTGGAAGGGATGGCAGATTTTGGTTGGCACAAGATAATATTCTACTGCATTAGTGGCTTTAAAAAGAACAGAAATCTGTGATTACTGTCATGGAGAGAAGACCTGTAATCCAGTTTACCCATTGACCCCAACAGACCTGCTGTGGAAAGTGAGGGTCTGCGTCTTGTACTAAACCCTGAAACTTTGAAGAAAGGGGCAGACCTGTATTTGTCATCACATAACCTAATCTTTTCTTACACAGGGACTTTAGGAGTATATTTTGAATGAATAAAGTAAAATTCAGAAGAATACACCCTTCTCAAACATATTGATCCCCAAATGCTTTTGTACAAACACGTTAGGTACATGTTCAATTTTAGAGAGTTTTAGATTTATGGAGTTGATTAGGAAGATAGTCCTGAGTTCCCAAAATTCCCTTGTCTAGTTCCCGTATTGTTAACATATTACGTTTGTATGATATGTTTTTCATAATCAGTGAGCCAATACTAACGAGCCCATACATCATTCAATTAATTAGTACTTCCTGATTGCCAGGGTTCATACCAGCAACCCCCGGGCAGTGATGATTGGGGATGAGTAAGCACGCCGTTTGCCAGCCCATCCCGCCCCCAGTACCGGGAACACTCAGGTGCAATGGGGATCCTAGTCAAGCAGCAACTCATTTATTGCAGGTGTTACGGAGCTTATAAAGGCACCTGGAACTCCCGCCTCCCCCCCCCAAGGGTGTATGTTAAGGATCGTCAGGAGCTGATCATGCACTCCTCAGCAGTGTGGAAGTATTCTTCAGACTTTCAAAGCAAGCTAGGCTGTGTCCCCAGTAA